TTAATTAAGAAAATAAAGATAGAGAAAAAAACAAATTTTTTCAAAATAATTTAATTTTTCCCTGATTATATATTAAAAATAATTTGCTCAGTAGCAGCAGACAGTAAGGCCAACTAACATATGGACTGACAGAAATGAGTGACATGGTTTTTTATAATGTAACATAGATGTCATATAACATTAAAAAATAATATCCCATTATTGAAAATTTTTGTGATTACAATACTTCCCTACCAGTAGGTAAGAGAAGTATAAATTGTTATATCATTAATACATACCTGACATAGTCGAACCAAACAGGGCAAGGTCCTGTAAGTGATAATTGGATCATAAGCTGGTATTGCTCCAGCTCTATGCAGATTGGTGAGACATTTGGCTGCCTCAAGTTGCATCTCAATCGGCCTATCTCTTGATATCAAAGTAGCCAGATAATTAGGTACCTTTATATCTTTGCACGAGGTGTGCACTATCTCTAATGCAACTGCAGAGTTGTTGAAACACATAGTAGCCAAGCACGTTACGACTGGTATTCTTACAGAATAATTTTGGACTGACAATAAGGCAGCCAGAACTGCTGGAGCTCCAACAGAGCATAGAGCATTTTGTTCTGATGTACCTTTGCATATTGCACTTAAGATACTTGCTACACATGATTGGCGCTGCAGACTTTCTCTAGCACCAGCATAAGCCAACAATTTGGTCAAGTGTTGGGGTGTGTAGTTTGTTTCAGTGATCTTGGAGTTGTGTGAAAGAGTGCGCAAACAGCATAGACAAGAGTCTATCAATCTCGCCTCTGATTCATCCAAAAGCTCCAACAAAACTTGTGTTATTCCAGAGTTTATTAGAAGTTCAATATGGTCTTCTGTACCTTTGGCAAGAGAGCCAATGGTCACCGCAGCTTCTATCCGAACTTCGGACTTCATTTCTTTATCCTTCAACAGTGCTATGAGACGTGGAACTATGCCCTGGGCTATTACGCTTTCTTTTTGGCGATTTGATCCTATGACGGAGTTCTTGATGCATATTATCGATGATAAGCATTTATTAGGATCCTGGGAATATAAATCGTCCATATAAGAGCGGGTGCTCTCGACATTCTAGAAGAATACGAAAGTTCATTAGTAGAAAAACATTTCATACAGGTGATCTTACCATAAAAGCTGTAAACGGCTGCATATCAGAAAGCATCATACGCAACTCCGTGTGCAACTCAAAGTCAATAGGTCGACGAGCAACGCGGAAAATGTAAATTAGTTTTTGAATTCAGTAGCGTAAATAGTATATTATCAAAATATTAGGAAAACAAAAAAAATCAAGGAATTTTTGACGTATCTTATCACATCGGTCGCTTGACAAGTGACAGTTTCATGTTTTGAGTTTTGACGCTACTTCACTGCCTTCACAGAGATACAGCAAAAGCAAAGCTACGAAGTGACGTCGACAAAGTTATAGTAAATTCATTGCGCAGAAAATTAATTTCAGATTCTGAGGGTATATCTTTAAAAAACAGGAAACACGCTTTACGCCATTTTCTGCGCGTACTAGATTATAGATTTCCGAGAGCCACCAGCCACATCCTCCCTGGCGACAGAATTGACTTCAGACGAATGCCTGTATATCCTTTATCCTTTACACAGCTTAACCCCTTATCTCTAGGGATGGCAACATTTTTAAACATACCGGTATTTGGCATCAAATGATATACCGTTAGGAAAAACCGGTTATTCGGTATATTGGAAAAATTGTACCGGTATTTAAAATAGCGAAAGATCTTAGCCAAACCTATCGAATTTTCTCAAAGTCTACGAATATCTAGGGCCTAGAACCTAGAGTAGCATTGAATAAATTATACATTAACATATATTATGTTTAGTGTGTGTAAGTGGTTTTAATGATCAAGAAAGAAAAATTCACACATAAACAATATAAAAGAAATCACATCTAGCGAAACAAAACACTTTCGGAAAGTTATCCCTAATTGGACTCATGGGTGTATAAAAGAAAAAAGATATCAATATCAGTCATATCTAGTGATGTAAAATAATTAAGTAACGCTTACAAAATAATCGTTACAAATGAGTAACTAAATGTAACGAGTCCTACTTTTTGAAAAGACTCGTTACTTTTTATTTGAATTCGTTACTTTGAATGCGATACGGTCTTTTTCAATGTATACTCTTTAATTACTGTTAGTTACTACACTATACATTACTTTAGATACAAACGTTACTGGGATCTAATATAGCCAGTACTGCCAGCGCCAGCAGCAAGTGACTTGGTTCTTGGATGTAAACTGGGTGGAAATGAAATGATGCGAATATCGTTAGGCTTAGGCAACTTTAGATACTCTTCTATCAAACGAGTTGCGGACTGCGGAGCTTTAGGTTGGCAATGTTTGTGTACACCTGTACACTTTTCATTTGACTTTGAGAGCTAGCGGTTGGCGGGTTGCTACTGGTTTGGACGTTGCCGTACAAGCTCGAGCAATAATATAATTATTATTTGTACAAAAATATGGAATCATCCGCGTCCGGTTCAGGAGAATCGCAAACTCAAAAAAGAAGTGTTATTTGGATGCATTTCACCAATATATCGGAAGCTAATGCAAAGTCTAATCTTTGTAAAAATATTTATTCGCATAAAAATGGAAACATTAGCAATTTAAGGAAGCATTTGAAAACTAAACATCCGACTCTTTCATTGGAAGGAGAAAGGGCAAAACGGCGGGTGGAAGACGAAAATATGCCTAGGTGCAAAAGGAACTTAGTTTCAGGTATGTTTTATTATTATAAGTATTTTGTTGAACACCATTTACAGTGGAGTAACCAGACTGTTAAGTAGGACAGCGGAGTAACCAGACTGTTAGGGCAGGGGACGCTACTCAACTAAAGTAAAGAGTGAGGAGAGTGGTTCCTCCACGGTACCCATCTGGTTATGCCACTTGTTAAATACTATTTACAGCGTACAGCCAACGAACGAGACGTCACACAACGACGAGTTTAAAATATAAGTACCTTCTACGTATCAAATATCAAAAAAATTAATAGGCAAGGCATTAGACAAAAAATAATAATTGGATCAATCCCAAAGTAATAATTTGATATAATATATAGAATGTAGGTTCTAAACGAAATGTTCAAAGAGTAACTAAACTAACGAGTCCAAAGTTCGAAAGTAACGAGTCCTTACAGGTCCTAAAAAATAACGAAACTTTGCATCACTAGTCATATCACATTCACCGAAACAAAGTATTGTAACAAATAGCGCCATCTGTTGGGCGAGACTCCTACTCGCCAGAGCTTCATTGCCGACGATTGCCGATCTCTGCTTTTACACGACCGCACAAGCCGCCTGGCGGCGTCTGTGAGGACCGTGACAGCCTTCTAGATCGACGCGAAGTGATCTCCAACATTCTAGATATCGCTTTGTGGGACACTCGTTCTTTCTCGAAGTAGCAATTGGGACTATATATAACTCGGCGGCCGGGAGATGGAGGCAGAGAGAACGGAATACGGTAGAGTAGCAGAGCGGAGTGAGGTATAGCGCAGTCAATGGTGGCATAAGAATTAGTCAGACATAAATAGTGGAGTATATAAATGTTTTATCAAGTTAAATAAATCAGTGTATTTCTTTTTGTGGAATCCAATGTTTTGATCCACACCCAAAAGAACCCAGAAAAACGCAACATTGGTGTCAGGTGTGGGGGGTGGATTATTGGACATTCAGTGAAAATAAATCGGACGATCAGTGAAGGAAGAATGGTGCGATTGGTTGATTTGAAAATTGCCGATTTAAAGAGAGAGCTGGAGGAAAGAGAGTGCGACACGGCTGGAAAGAAAGCAGAATTACAAGAGCGGCTTCGTCAAGCACTGATTGAGGAAGGTGAGGACCCGGATATTTTCATTTTTACCGGTGCAGGGGATATTGGTTTAATGCTTCGACCAAGTTAGAAAACAAGCTCATGGAAAATTGTGCTGATCTTTTAGAAAACTCAGCGAAGTTAGAAAATAGTCTCGTGGAAAATTTTGCGAACCTAGAAGGAAAACTCTTGGAGTTACACGAAAGTACAGCCGAATTAGAAGAGAAGTTTTTGGAAAATACTGCCAATTTAAAAAAGAATTGAAAGATAAAATTATGGAAAAATCTTGCGAGTTGGAAAAACGGATTTTAGAAACTTTGGAGGACAGAATTCAAGAAGTGCAAGGCAAGTTTGCCGCTTTAGACGTCAAGACCGTCGACGAACGGCAGCGTGGACTTCCGTTGGGAAAATCAAGTGAGGTTGGAGCTTCTGTTGGGTCAGCTGGTCATCTGCGAATGAAACCGCCTCAATTTGATGGTACAACACCTTGGAATGTGTACCGACGTCAGTTTGAGGCAACCGCGAATGCAAATGGTTGGTCGTCGACCGAAAAGGCAACTGCACTCACTTTGGCCCTACGAGGAGATGCTGCAGCTATTCTTCAAAGAATATCACCCGAAGAGCAAGAGGTCTACGAACAACTAGTAGGACATTTGGAGATGCGATATGGCCAGTCACATTTAGAACGTGTCTACCATACTCAACTCAAGTATCGGTTCCAGAAGTCAGGCGAGTCCTTGCAGGAGTTCGAAGCGGATATTGTGCGCACTGGCGGATTTAGAGGGCGCGCGCCCCTCCCTAGACGTCTGACATTTGCTTTTGCAATCTAACACCATCGTGTTACTTTCTGTCACATCATGGTGACAGAGGCATACTAACTACAAGTTATAGCTATATGAACTGAGCATTATGATTTTTTTGGTATCCTTTGGTATTCCATTTGACATCACTTGTTTACAGTACAACTCTTACGATTTATACGTATATACGAGTATTGTGACTTGTTACAAATCTGTCTGGGTAATATATTAGTTATACAGATTGCACTTAAAAAGTGATTTATGTTACTGATTGTTACTCAATAGTAATTTGAAAAGTGTGTAAAGCTCGACTGATTTTGTGTCGGGGCTGGTGTTGCAGCGAAGCACTATGTTAGATGAATGCCTAAATTGGAAATAGACATTTATGAGATTTGTTTAGCGGAGCGCCTCTGGCCTGTCTAGAAACGTCGATCGATGCTCAAAATCAATACCACACATCCCGCATCTCTTCTCGCATATGTGTCTATTTATGTTGCTAAATTCGTTTAAATCACAGAGCTGCTGCACTATACGTGAATATATACAGCCATGTATTCCTGTACTTGTTTAGTGCAAACATACATTATCAAACTAATTACGATCTAACAGATATAGTTTTTTCCAAGGATCTCCAACATTTCATGCAATCAACACCGGTTCGAAAACTGAGAAAACAACTATGCCGTAAATCTAAGTTCGACAACGAAAGTCTGAAAAATAACTGTAACATCTATATTGAATTTCAAAAACGCCAACCCCTACTGAGCGGGGCCTTGGAAAATGCTTGTTCCGGAAGTTGTTGTATCCAGCATACAACTTCTTCCCGTACAAGTGATTGTACACGCGTTAAGGAATACCTCACTACCGGTTGCCGGGTGGCGGTACAAGTCCGCCAATGGGCCACTTTAGGTCTATTTAATGTCATTAACACAAAGAAGATGGTAGACAAGGACCAGTCGACCGAGGCGGTACCACCCTATAGCTTTTCCCAGGGTGTCTTATAAATGTCCGCATGTTTCCACACCTAAGCTATGCAGTCGGTTATCTTCCAAAACAAAGAAATTAATGATGATGGATCCCTCGAGTACTAAGAAGTCCGGATGTAAGCTCACTCCACTCTCAGAGTCTTAGGGTGGAGGGTGGACTCGAGGGAACAACATCGAGGATAAAATTTTTTTCACGAACATCTGCGGGATTAACAGCAACATTGATGCTGTTCATCAATACTTGCAATCCAATCGTCCCGCCATGCTTTTCTTGGCGGTTCTTGGTCTCATGTTCGTTTTCGCAGTCATAGACATTGTTTTGTGTGGAATGGACTGGGATATGCCTCGCCGGGGTCGCTCAGAATGTTTTATTTTTTGTCGGTTAACAGAGCAATGAAGTTTTTTATGTTTGAATCTTTAATATTATTACACTAGTTAATTACAAATGTCACGTACTTATTTTGTTCTCATATGATAAAATATTGGCTCTCTGAGCAATTTCCATGTTTTTTTTTCAAGCTGGCCTTGACTAGATAGAACACAATGGATTTAAGGAGCAATAATAGGATAAATTCTGGAAGTTCCACTGAGGTTAAAAGATGACTAGCGCCAAATATCGTTTGGCCACCCCCCCCCCCCCTAGATGAAATCCTGAATCCGCCCTTGATTGCGCGGTTGGTACGATTAGCATATTCCGATGTTCAGGAAAGGATAAAGGAGCGGTTGGCAGTTCTAGCATTCCTGGATGGACTTCGTGATGGTGAAATGGGGCAAACCTTACTACTGGCACATCCCTCTAAGCTAGTAGCTGCGCTAACTCGGGAATTCGAAGCCGCTAAAAACACAAATAAAAGCCAGGTCCGAGTCCGCCAGATGGTACCAGGAGATAACGAGTTCGAAGAGTCCTTCAAGCGCATTTTTAAGGAGCGTGATGGTGAACGTCGCCTCCAGAACAATAGGTGGGAATGTTGGAAATGTAGAAAAATAGGGCACGTTAGGAGACATTGTCCTGAAGGTGCTAGTCCTCATCCGGCCAATCCGGAAAACTAAGGGAGGTCGATGTGAAGGAGCTGTCGTCGACATGTAGCCAACAAGCCCCATCGGTTATTACCGCCCAAGTCTCCTCGCTTAAACATCAGTCTAATAGTTTTTGTCGATGCTTTTGAGGATGGGACTCTCCACACCGTACTGCTGGATACAGGTGCGACAAAGACTATCATAAGGTCCGGCAGGGTGAAAGCATCGGCGAAGATTCGATCATCCAAGTGGCGACTACGAACGGCGACGAGAGACCGAGCAAACGTGTATGGTGAAGCAAACATCGCATTTGGAATAGGAAAAGCTACAACATCTGGCGATAGTAGCTGGTATTGAGGACGAGGTAATCATCGGAATGGACATCATGGACACACAGGACTTCGAGTTGAACTTTAAGCAAGGAATCTTGAAAGTCAACAATGAGAAGGTCGTTTTACACCAGGAAGGGAATGTAAACTTACGAGTTCTATTGCCTGAAGACACCGTGATCCCAGAACGAAGCGAAGTTGTATTGAATGGCTCGGTAGAGGGCCAGACTACAGACGGAGAAATAGTCAAGTTTGAACCTAGGATGCATGACGAGGCTATTGGCCGAGGGATAGCCATTGCAAAGGCCTTTGTGCATGCCGATAAGACTATTCCTGTGAGACTAATGAATGTCAGTCATTACCCTGTGTCCTTGAAGAAGGGCTCGGAGCTGGGACACTGCTGTCCAGTTTCTGCAATCATTCGAAATATGCCAGCCGTGGAAAACTTAGGGGTCATTTCTAAGGAACTGGAAGAACTGATTTCGTCATCAGGCAGAGATCTAAGACCAGACCAAAGAAAGAAACTGAAACATCTAATATATAGATATCGAGATGTATTCGATACTGGACAAAAAGGAAGAACCAATATAGTCCAGCACAAGATCAACATGGAAAATGTCCCACCTGGCAGATGGCAAGAAGACTCCCACTTGCTAAAAGAGAGGAGGCTGACAAGTTCGTAGACAGTAAAGGCCAACGAGGGAATCATTGAACCGTCCAACAGTCCATGGGCCTCACCGGTAGTTTTGGTTAAAAAGAAAGATGGTTCAACCAGATTTTGTGTGGACTACCGAATGTTAAACAACGTGACCAAGAAGGGCAGCTACCCTCTTCCGCGTATTGATGACACTCTGGATACCCTGGCTGGATCAAAAATATTTTCCACCCTAGACCTAAAAAGCGGATACTGGCAAGTAGAATTGGCCCCTGAAGATCGGGAGAAGACAGCATTCACGGTGGCCACCAAATTATGTCAGTTTAATGTGATGCCATTCGGCTTGTGCAATGCTCCTGCTGCCTTTGAAAGGCTGATGGACACGATTCTAAGAGGACTTGTCTATAAACTATATAGACAAGTTTGGTGTACAACCGGTCGTTCAGACGGAAATTAAAGGAAGTAAAATTGGCTAACTGGTTGCACCGGTGAATTAAAGAATACGCCTATACCGTACACAGTAATTGAATTAAGATTGACTGATGAAATTTTACTCTGGAACACAAAACACATAAGACTGAAGAAGGGGGAGCTGCACGTTAAATAACGGCAACACCGTTGACGTTTTGTCAGATGGTTGCACCGCCTACTTGCCTGGAGATCTGGAGGAACTATCGAAGGAATTCAAAGAATGCGCCGGGAGATTAGGAATGTGCCGAGGATTTAGTTTGTTAACAATTTAAAATCTGCTGAAAGTGATATTTCCCATATTGAAGAAATATTTTATGAGCATAGATGCATAAAATATCCTCAATAAAGGAAATACCTGATTCAGCAGTTTTGCTGGTAACCAATTTTGGGAAAATAAAAAATAAATGCGTAATTAATAAAATATTGATTAAATAGTTAAATATATGAATAATAATTTATCATCACAGTACATTGACAATATATAAAGGTATTTTTAGACGTCCGGAGCTTTCTCTATTATTAAGTGAATAAGTGATGTTTATCATGCTCTTTAAACGTCACAAACGGATGTTTTTCAGTGACAACCAAAGAAAATAACCTTGCACAGGATTCACAATTACTATCAATTTCGAGTATGTCTAAAATGTACCCAGCCACATAACCATTTGAAGGATGCCATTCAACAGAGCTGTCCATTATTTCCATGTCAGAGTCACTTAGAATATCAGGATCTAAATCAAGCACTGAATCATTACTTTTGTCATATATATAGAAAAAGTCACTGAAATCGGCCAAAGTACCACAAAAAACGATTCTACAATTACCTTCAGAGAAAGGTGTGCTGAAATTATTGATAACTACTGTTTTCAAGGCAGCAACAACTGATGAAAGGTGGGATTTGTAATGAAGATACCATGCTGTCTTACTTTACCAAATAAATTTTCCAGGGAATCTTGATTTAAATTTCTCAATCAAAGATATTTCAAGCCCTTCTCCTTAAGATCTCTCCATAGTGACATAGCAGATCTAATTGTTATTTGCCAGCCTTCAACAAATTGAAATAGTTTGATTTGTCAACCCCAGCGACAATGAAAATTGATTTTAATTTGGATAGCCTTGAGCAAACATTCCGGTTGACTTTATACATGATTGATTCCTTAGGGCTCAATTAATTCTTTGATGTACCAGACTTTGTTAATATGCCAGAGCAACAACAAAAAAGAATATTTATCTAAATAGTAAGATTCTGTTCTAGAACCACTTCTACTGATTTCAATGTATTGATCTTCCAGAATAACATTGGAATTTTCATTTTGCTCAGAAGGGGTTGGATTTGTGGTATCCTCTCCAGAAGGAGGGTCATTGAATAAAACTCTAGATACTGAACTGGGACCTGGTTTAGTAGGATGATTATTATTTGAATTTAAAACTGTACTGGGGGATACTGGTATGGTAAGATATCTGAGACGTGAAGGATCTTGCGGATTATTACGATCAAACATTGAGAAATGATCCTCACAAACATAATAATTGGAAACTTTACGAGCGGGAGATATCTTACAAGTTGCCTTCCATGCAGCAACAATACTTTATTTTATTTTTATTTATAGAAGCAGATTTACGAACAATGTGGAAACAGGAATTTTGGCAAGAAGGATATTTGCATGAGTACTTTAAAGTAGCGACGTACGAAGACGCAACCCCAAATCGAGACATGACTGATTTACAAAAGAAAAACAAGCTTATTGTTTTACATTGAAAAATATATGACAAAGGTTATTATTACTATTATTATATGAAGATTATGAACGATAATTTCTCGATTGGGAATTATATCAATAATTAAAAATTTAATGTGTAGTGCAAACTCTGTTGGTAAGAAAGTGTCCTAGATTTTGCCAAGAGATTTATGTATTTTGTGCCCATAAGACGTTTCACCCCCCTGCTCTGGAATACTGTGTACCATTTTTTTTGAGAACGCCTAAATTATTACAAAGTCTTATTACGACACTTGATGACGGCATACTACTTTCTAATTTCTATTTACGTTTTCGGCCACCATTTTTCTACTACATGGAATGGATACGTGATAGAACATTTATCGTGAAAAACACAAATCAAATTCAAGCGGATAACCAAATGGAAATGGTATTTACCATTTTGGGTTGGTATTTACCAATCCGTTCAAGCGAGTGTAGTTATCAGTTTGGTTATAAGATCCGCGACGTCACGAATCAGCTGTTATATGTCTGGTTATTTTTTGAAATGTGACAAGTTAGAATTTTGCCGGGTATTGGATATTGTTATTGTACTTTAGCTTCATTTTTGAGAAAAATGATACAGGCTGACTTCAGTTTTACCATAAAGTTTAGCACCTTATTAATTAAACTCATTACGGTTGTTGGGGACACTTTAAATGTAGTTCCTATGCTTAACAAAGTATCCTGTGTAGCCATATACCCCAAGAATATTAAAATATGGCCATATAAACTCACTAGATGATATCCACCTGTATACGGTTTTGCTAATTTCTTTTTTCATCATTTCTGCTGAATCAATAAATATTTTCTTTGACATGCGGAAAAATTTAGAGAATTGAAAGTTATCATAGCTACAAAGCCATGGTTCCATCATTAAAAAAAATCTGAAAAAACATTTCTCCCATGAATATTATGAAAGGTTTCTTATTTAAACTTTCCATATACAGTTGCAGACTTAAAAGCACCGATTATTAAGTGATATTAAAAATAATCAGAGATTATATACGCGCTTTTCTAAAATAAACAACTTGCAACAAAACCGCGGTTAAAACCAACGCGTTCAAGCGATTCGTGTAACTGACGTCATCAACCCGTGTGTCATCTTGAACCATATTATAACCGCGGCACATAACACAGAAATTTTGGTTATTCGCTTGGATTTGATTATATATTCTGCGAATTTTGAGTACCTTTGATAAACAGACGAAGTAACAAACAATGAACCATAAGAATGATAAGTTCCGAAAGTCTTATTCCCAAGGTTTTAAGCACGGGAAGAAAACTGCAATTTTGACGTTCCAGAAGGATTACGTTGTAGAGTTCGAACAGCCTAAGGTTATGCCCGCTACGTCATCACTTTATACCCTCTCCCTTGCGTCGATTGTACCCAATAAGAATATAGGAAATTGTTGTGACAGTCTCTGGTAAGATTTATGGACATCTGTTACCGCCCTCTTAATGTGGTCCAGTTCTAATCGTGGCGAATATTTATATCGTAGAAAGCTTAAAAATGTATGTGGTCTTCAATGTCCAGAAATGATGTTGCTGTTGACGCTGTTAAGGGACATCCCACTCTCAGTAAGCCATAGGCGGAACGTTTTTTAGTATGTAGATACGCAAGTTTCAGTCAGTTGAGATTGTTGACACAATTGCGATCTGATGAGACGTTTGTTCGATTTATTTATTTTTTTATTTATTAACCATATCATATTTTATATTTGATTGTGTTGAAAATTATTAATCTTATGGGGTTTGTGGATATTTGATGGAGATCCATAAATCAAAATATAAAATAGTGAGCAGGTACCTACATATAATAGACACAATATTGAAGGGTAAAACCCCAAAGTTGGCAAACAACTGAAAGTAATTAAATTAATACTAAGACTGTGATCCGCTTATATCTATACCAATCATGAGATTTCCTAGAGTGCATCATTAGTACTTAGATAAATAGGCTAATACCAATATCAAACGTAGGTAAACAAAATTAGTAGAAACAAATCTAATAATAACAAGTGTAAAATTGAACTACCTGGAATAATTCCCGGTTGCTAAATCCCTTCGTTCGTAAGTAGCGTTAAGACGATGAGTGTTAATTAATCACATTTATTTTACCTGCAATAGATATATAAACCTGTCCGTTAGTCATAAGTTCAGTTTGTCAACTAATTTGAACAAGGCACCGTGTGTAAAAATTGTCAAATAGATTGCAATATAGTGGAAATTTTTACTATTGTTCAAATTTAAATTATTAATAGTTTTGAACCAGTGATCTAAACAATGTCTGTGAAAGAGATTGGCGTGAAAGGAAAGGCGATTGGGAGTCAAGGAAATTAAATTATCAACAATGTCAATAACTTCATGGTACAGGAAAGTGTAGAGGGATTAAAGTTTCCACTTCAACAATACCGGTATGTATGAATGTAAAAGATTTTTATAATTATTGTCAAATAAAACTGATTAACCCATTTAGGAAACGTGTGTTAGCTGCCACGGGTATAAGTAAATGTACTTATCAAAAAATAGCTAAAGAGAGCAGAGATGGAATATATTCATTCATTTTCATCCCCGTCTAAAAAGCGGCAACGAAAATCACCTGTTGTGGATAAAGTGGCTGCAGGCCAAATTGAAGAAATGAAAGCAATCATATACGATTTTTATATTTTGGAGAAAAGAAGACCTTCGCTGAAATGTAAGTTTTTAAATTGTAACCGTAGCATCTAGTCATATTTCATTTTAAGATTTTTTAGGTATTTACCAAAAAATGCAAGATCAACAACTCAATTTTGAGGGTAAAATAACGACTTTGAACAAACTTTTGAAACAAATGGGCTTTAGGTCAGTATTCATACACACTATAAGGTTTTCGATTTACAACGCTATAAATATAATTTATATCTACAGATGGAAAAGAACTACTGATAATAAAAAAGCTCTTATGGAAAAATATGAAATTCGCTTGAAGCGTATCGAATATCTGAAGCAAATTATGAAATATAGAGCTGAGAACAGGAACATAATTTATACGGATGAAACATATATACATTCTAGTCATACCCCAAAAAAAGGATGGTCAGATGACAATTATGACAAGGAACTAAAAACGCCTTTATCAAAAGGACAACGAATGATTATTGTGCATGCTGGTGGAGAATTCGGCTTTGTTCCTAACGCCTTGTTGATATTTAAATCAGGTATTATTTGTGTTACAATGATGTAAAATATTTCCAATATATTTTTACATTTACTGGAATATATGTATGTATTTTATTTTCAGGCTCAAAATCTGGGGACTACCACAACGACATGAATCATTTGAACTTCATGAAATGGGTAGAAAGCCAATTGATCCCAAATTTGCCTGAAAATTCTGTGCTTGTAGTTGACAACGCTTCTTATCACAATGTCCTGGAAGAAAAAATGTAACCTCTTCTAGCCTGAAATCAGAGATGATGGACTGGCTAGAAAAACATCAAATTCCTAGTAAAAACTCATTGACTAAGGCCGAACTATATAAAAAATACAGGAAAATAAAATAATATTTCCAGTTAAATACAAGCTAGATGCCTTAATGGAACAGCACGACTGCCTCCATATCATCCGGAGCTACACCCAATCGAGAAGATTTGGGCTCTCGTAAAAAACTGGGTTGCTCCACGAAAAGTGACATTTAGGTTGTCTGATGTGGAGCATCTGACCCGTAGTAGGTTTGAAGAAATTGGAGCAGATGAGTGGAAGAAAATTTGTAACCACGTGAAAAACAAATGGAAAAAGAACATCTTCTCGACGATCAAATGGATAGGTATCAATTCACTGTGAAGACAGGGTCATCATCAGAAGATAGTGACGAAAGCGACTCAAATGAAGATTTGGAGCTAAACACACTGTCATCTGATAGCGATTAGATTTTTTAATGATAATATACAATTTGAATTATAACCGTCTTTAGTTTGCTCCCTCTTCTAATTCAAATTTGCTTCCGAACAACTTAATGCGCATACTAAATGAATATAATAATACAAAAATCAATTAATGATCAATGTCTACACAACCTATTCACTTTATTTTATACTTCAAATAAAATAGAACGCCACTGCGCTCTGTCGACGACCTCGTGATGAGCGGACCCGCCCACGATGACGTAGCGGTCATATTCTTAGAGCGTTCGAACCATATTTCCGAACACGTGGAACAGGTACGTCAAATAATTTAATTACGAACACTGTAAATTGTTAAACCGCTCCCACACGATGTAGCGAATACCTTACAACGTTGGACACATGGCCATGCGCCACATCGTGTAGGAGAGCGCTGATGGATTCCATGTGCCCAACGTTCGCCACATGGCACGTTCGGGCTCTTGTCGTCTCGTTACGCTCCCACACTAGATGTCATGTGTTTGATAGTTTTAGGTTAGAACCAGTAGCGGCGACAAACATTATTTATTTGTTTGTTCTGATTGTGGTGAAGTAGTGGTATGTGGCAAGTATTTTGATTTGAATACCTACATATTAATAATAATGTATGTTTCGTAACTAACTTTTGAGGAGAAAGGATTAAATTAGTATACATACACATATACTGCCATAACAACACTTTTTTCATGTTGCTAATATTGTGTACGTTTCGCAGGTGAGTTATGGCTGGCCTAAGGATATGTATTTTAATTATAAATTATCAAGTGCTTACAGTTGTTTCATTATAATGTCCTGTTGCAATGCAAGACTAGTTGAGAAATATATTGACTTCCATTTCATAACTAACAAAAAACATTAAATAAATGATAACTCTGAAAGTACTATCAGGATTTTGATGAAATTTTGACCCTAGGTTGCTACTATGAAAATGGCGAAAAA